TTTCATATATTAAGATAAATAGAAATAAAATAAAATAGACGTGGAAAGATTTATAGGTTTTATTTTGCTTTTCAATTAAATGGATGACGGACCTAGTTTGTATAAATCATTATTGAATACATTGATATTCAATAGGTGACATAATCCACTTTCGGAAAGGAAATCGTCAAGGAGACTTCTGAACCGGGTTGTAGTTTCACTGCAACGGAGGTTCACTGCACCGAGTCCGTCTGCATGATGTCCGGAGCACATTACTGGTGCACATACTTTGTGCAATGTAACTGTCGAACTCAGTAATACACTCACTACTGCGAAGAACTGTGCACATGGTTCGGTCACTCTGCGTCCCGGTAAGTCATGTTTTGAATGGCAGAGACAGGCCATCATATTGCCAAGCCAGAATGAGCTATGCTGCAGAGTGGAGTTATGGAAGACCGAATGTTCAAAAGTTCAGGTGGTTGTTGAGATTCATAAGAATAAAATATATGAATATGCAACAAGGATTCGAGAATAATAACATCACAAGATATAAAACAGATTTATATATAAGGTATCGCAACAAGGAAAAGATGCATAACATATCGTTTTGCGTGCTATATCAATTCGTGTTTCACCAAAACTGACTTAGGATAGTAATAAGTTCCAGTTTACTGATACTCCTCTTTCGTTTGCCAAGTCTACACAGTTTCACATCTGAGGAATCAGTGACTTTCTGCTGTTCTATATAAAAGCTTCTGTTTCTCACGCGCTTTTCGAACGGGAAGTTTCGTTCTAACGTGATTCGCATTTATCAAACTTTTGCTGTGTTCTTACGCAACAAAAGTACCATATCAGTTCTAAAGAATCTATCCTGAGCTATACGTTCGGTTGATTGCTCTTTGAGTTTCACCATATTAATTAGTTAACTGTGGTTTTGCCTCAGCTAACTATTCGTTTTTTTTTCACGTAAAGACTAATTCAGTTTATCTCACTCGTTTTCATCCGTTTTTATCCATTTTTGTTCGTTTTCAGTGTGCTTTTTAGTGTATTTTTACGGCCATAGGCTTTTGCAGGCAACAATAACATAGTTTGCTTCAACGTAGTCATGAAAAACTCATGCAAACGTCCGGGATGCCGTTTCGCTGTTACAACTGGCATGCAGTGCGACAACTGCAAAGGTTGGTTCCACGAAGCGTGCACAGATCTGACGGGAACTGCTTACAACAGACTCAGCAAGTCGGACCAAAAGTGGATAGTGTCACACGCAGCATGGACGCTGTAGTTTTGCTGAGTAACATCATCGTCTTACGGACAGGTCTGCGGAACAATTTGTCAGCGAACTTGGATAACGACAGCAAAAAACGGGCAAACAACCAAGGCCGCGCCATGAGCACAAGATTAGGGGTGTTAACAGGTATATCATCGATGGAGCATCCACTAACACTAATGATAACGTGTTGAAGCTCAGCACCATCATTACGTTGAGGGTACCAGACTCCCTAAGTAAACTCGGGTCTCCCAACTCAGGGTCCCTGAACACAACAGTGGTTCCCCAAAACCCTGCAGGTGGTTCGACCCACGTTAGCGGAGCCCAAAAGAACCAGCTGAGCATCCCAAGTGTTGTTGTGCAGAAAACAACTGGTGATTTGGTCGCACAGTCTACCCCCAAGAATGTTCGTCCGAACATCAAGGAGCCCAAAATTCAAAAGCGTGCATTGACCTCCAAACAACAAGGTATTAAACCTGAACCCATCGGGAAACCTGGTAAATCAACAACAGTTCGTATCGATTCTCTCATAATCATGAATCTCATTGACAATCCTGACCGTCCTCTCAGTCTTTAGGACAAAAAAGATAGGATGTTCTGAGGTGAACTGAACGAGAAGCGCATACTTCCTAGAATAGAGCCTTTGACGGTCACTCGAAGAAAGGATTCTAAGCATGTAAATCACCCGAGGTTACTTCGTGTAACACTTAGGAATGGTACTGATGTAGTGGACGTCTTGCTAGCCAGTCACATGCTGAAATCGGATATCTGATATATCTTCTTAGTTCTCGGACCAAGAGTTAGCATTACCTGGGATGTCTTTGTTCCGCAACAACAGAAAATCAGGAATTGGGGGTGAAGTAGCCCTATACATATGTTCTTGCTTGGAGGTGCACCGGGTTCATAACCTCGAATTTAACAATCTTGAGGAATCCATATGGGGCTCTGTAAGATTGTCTGCTACTTCGAGGTGTCTAGTCGGAGTCATTTACAGGAAGCCAACTGCCGACATCGAGTACAATAGTCGTATGCGGGAAGGGCTATTCCGTACTACTCGTCTCGGTTTCACACACATCCCGATTCTAGGGGACTTTAATATCCCTAGAGTCAACTTCGTGGATCGCACGTATACTGGAGCCGATAACTCAATTGAAGCTCGATTCTTCAACCTCATCGACGACTTGGGATTATACGAAAATGTGAGGTCGGCAACTCGTTGGAGAAACAGTCAGACACCATCGCGCTTAGACTGTGTATTCACAAACGAAGAATTTGTAGTTGACAACCTCTCAATCCTGGCTCCACTGGGAAAAAGCGATCATACCGTCATAGCCTTCAGTTTTGTCAGCAAGGCTAAGCTAAGCTATTCCACCAATAACTCGCGTTGGAATTTTAAACGGTTGAATGTGCCAGCTCTACACGACTATCTACAACAGGTGGATTGGGATGTTCACCCTCAACTCGATGTGGACGGTCATTGGAACTTCTTACTGCACACGCTCATATGTGCTACAAACCATTCAGTTCCTCAAACGGTTCCCAAGAGCTGCAAGCCACCTACAATAATCAAGAACCGTACCCTTCGTCTGCTAAGCCGTAAAAGGCACTGTTGGGCGGAATACAAACGAACTGACAATGACGGAGCGTACAGGCAATATAAACATATAAGTGGCATATGCACGAAGGCTATAAGAGAAGACAGGCTTCAGTACCAGAAAAAGTTTATGGACAAATTCGCCTCTAATCCTAAAAGCTTATTCCGCTGTGTAGCCACTCTTCTTCAAGCCAAAACTGGAGTTTCTCAACTAGAAGTTCTTAACGGCCCGACCAACAACGATGGCGACGCCGCTAACCTTCTGGCTGAACGTTACTCTCAGACATTTCAACCGACCGACATTAACTTTACTGATGACAGTTTCATCTGCGATTCCATAGGACTTTTCGAAGTGAAAATAAGCGCTGACTTGGTGTTCCGGAAATTGCAGCACTTAAGACACTTCTCCTGGCCCGGATATGGTCCAGTCTGCCATACTGAGGGAAGCAGACTCAATTTTGACAATGCCGCTTAGCGTGATGTTCTCACGCTCGCTAAGTCGAGGAAAACTACCGGAAAATTGGAAGTTGGCTCACATTACACCAATTTTCAAAGGAGGTCGACTCAGTGAACCTTCAAGTTATCGGCCGGTGGCTCTTCTGTCATTACCTTCAAAACTCATGGAGTCTCTGATATGCGACGGTTTATACGACTATCTACTTTCCCTAAATTTCTTCTCATCCCGACAGCATGGTTTCAGGAAGGGCTACTCTTGTATAAGCAACCTGCTGACTGCGGTGGACAGATGGACGAGCATCCTCGGTCGCAAGGGGAAGGTTGATATCATTTACCTTGATTTCTCAAAAGATTTTGATAAGGTTAACCATATATGTCTTATCAATAAGCTTAAACGACTAGGTATCAGACCACCTCTAATCGATTGGCTTACTTCATACCTGAAAAATCGACATTTTAAGGTCAGGGTTAATTTCACTTTATCACAGGCTATGGAACGTCCTAATGGGGTCACCCAGGGCTCAGTACTTGGACCTCTTCTCTTCTTGATCTACATAAATGATCTTCCTCAACAGGCAACGTCAGAATTGTTACTCTTTGTCGATGATGTTAAATTTTGGAGAGAGATACGCAATCGAGACCATATACAGGCACTTCAGGAGGATCTGACTGGACTCCAAAGTTGGACAGATAATAATGGACTTGCTTTTAACACTTCAAAGTGTAAAGTAGTCCATCTGAGACATGTTGCAGACTACAGTTATAATTTATGTACCTCCTCGCTAGTAGTATCCAAAGTCGAAAAAGATTTAGGAGTCCTGGTGCCCTACGAGTTAAAGTTTTACGCTAACTGTGACAAAAATGCCTTCCGAGCAAACCTTGCACTGGTAACGTTGAAGCGCACTTATGGTTAGTTTGACGGAAGAACTTTCCCTATAATCTTCAACAGTTTTATCCTTCCCCACTTATAGTACGGAAACATAGTACTTCCCCCCTCACTCCAAAAGGATAAGGACACTTTGGAGTGTATCCAACAGCGAGCCACGAAATCAGTTCGAGGACTCAAATTTAAGCCTTACGAAGAGCGCCTCCATTCACTTAACGTTTACCCATTAGAGTATAGACGTCTTAGAGGTGACCTTCTGATGGCTTATAGTATCTTTAACACTTCCGAACATCCTCTTAAACACCTACTTAAGCTTAGTTCGAACAATAACCTAAGGGGTAACACCCAGAAACTGGAGACAAAACATAGCAAGATGGAATGTAGACATAACTTCTATTCCTTAAGAGTTGTCAAGTGCTGGAACTTGTTGCCGGCCGAGTTATCCCAAGCGACTTCCTAGGAGTCCTTCAAGATGCAACTTGACCTATTCTTAAGGACCAAGGACAGCATCATACTATGATTTACCAATTTCTTTTTCCTCCTTTATTGTTAACATACATAGGTTCCTGCTTGGAGGATTTGGTGATCCCCTGCTACTAGACACGGAAGCCTATTAACGAAAGCTTCTTCTATTACGTCCACAACCATTTGAACCATTTGAACTCTCTGAATCCTTATAACTATTTGAACAGAGTTCAGTTTTTGGAATTCTTGACACTTTTGAAAAGAAGTTGAAACTCTACAATACTATGAGCTTTGATGATTTCAACCTTCTCCGATCATAAGTAATCCTTCTCTTATCTTTTGTTTTTCTAACTATTTTAGAATACCGCGATGTATGATTGTCTTAATGATGGCTGTTTATGAAGAACTTGACTTATGTTTACGATAACTTAGTAGGACTTTTATTCATTGGAGTATACTTACTGGATATACGTCTTATAAAACCCTAAGTTTTACGAGGAAATGGCTGATCTAGAAGCTGTTCTAGCGGACGTCAGCTATTTGATGGCTATGGAAATGAGTAAATCCACTCCAGCGGCTCGTGCGAGCAAAAGAATTACCTTACCCGACCCCAGGTGAATTATTTTTCTAGTTTTGGTCTTAAAGTTCATTGATTGTTTCATCTCGGCATATCATTCACTTTTTTCAACTAACAGAACATCTCAAATCAGTTAGATAATATAAATAATCGTCATAATACCATTTTAATTAGTTAATTTTTGTTAGTGCAAAATTGTGGCTATGAAATATCTACAGTTTGAAAACATAAGATTCTGATGTAACATCAGAGATCAGTGTTGAGACTGTAATCGCCTCGTAAGACGATTATAGATCCGCAGACTACCCATGGAATGAGTGTTACTGTTTTTGCTATTCCGTATCAACTGCCATAAATGGGGCTGTATAGATTTTACTTAAGGAAGTACATAGCAATTGTGTGATTCCCATGTTTTTTCTTTACTATGTGGGGATCACATTTCGTTTTCTCGAAACGAAAGCATATTGTTGGAGGTTTTGATTGACTTAGGAAGCAAGCAGTAATGGAGTAAGTAAAATATAGCCTTTTGGTACGTGTTAATCAAGCACAAAGTCATGCCTTTCAATTTGAATTAGATGGTACTATTCATGCCGAAGTCGATAACACATTAAAAGTAATCAGATCCTTACATTAGAAGCACAAAGTGTGTAAAATTATAACTACTTAATTACCTGATAATTTGACTTGAGTAATCGTGTTAGAGTCTAGTGCCTAAGCCTCTGTAGGAGAATTTTAACTTAAGCTTCATATTGTGATTGAGGTAGCTATAAGATGTCATTATTTCACAATTTTGTGTACGTGTTACTCGGAGTCGCGTATCACAAATATTTTGTATAAAACCTGATCTCATTCGGTTATGGACATAAAAAACAAGATATGTAGAGTTCCAAGGCTAAATAGTTATAGCGTTGAAGTATACTTTGGGAACAGTTCAGTTAGTTGTTTTTTTTGGCTCAAGAGTATTCACTAAGTTATAGTTCGTCATTTAAGTGTATTAATTTTGCTTTGGTTATTTATTTGTTTAGTTAAACAAAAACATTGATGCAAGGTGGAACCAAATATATATGCCACACACCACCATCTAATTTGTGTGAGGACTGGGATACTGCTCGGAAGCCCACACCGAAGCTTTTGTTTTTAAGTTGTAATGTTCACTTCTGGTGCTAATAGTTCGCAAATGCTTTACTTGGTCATGAAACCGGGAAAATGGATTTAGTAATCTTGTTGCTCATATGTCACTTAGGGCTTGCATATTATACGAATATTTATTTTCTGTATTGCGTCAAAGGGTATAACAACCTATGATGATACCATTATTTACGTTAAATAAATTTGATTACTCCAATTTAAGCTCAGATGAGAAATACACCTTTCAAGATTAGCTTAGATCGACAAGTCATCAGGAGTTCGGTAAATCCTACCTTTCAATGATCTTTTGTTAAGTCCAGTACTTTTTACTGTTTGAAAATGAGAATGTTTGCTCTTCACATAGATTTTGATACGGTAGTTGTAAAAAGGCTACTAAAATATCTTGAACCCAAGTGACTCAGTTTTGTTTGTTCTTGTTTTCCTTTGTCCTCAGTTTTTTACCTTGCTATTATTATAGTTTTATTTCTTTCATTGCACTGAATGTGTTTAAAAATAAGTACAGTTTGAACACGTAATAGTTTTGTATTTCACAAGCATATATGTTTGGCACAGGAAGCAGACTAAACCATGTCAAGATTTACAAACTGTTTGAATTACCCGTTAGAGTATACGAGTTTGCGGTACCCTATTTCAACGTGGTCACATTTTCCGATCCCAATCCACTAACTAGAGTCTAAACAACTGGATATTATCATTGTAGATTACAAAATACGTGTCGTAGAATTTAGTTACATCACTATTGGTACTCGTTAATCTTCGTACTACATATGTTCGTGATCAATATGCGATCAATATGTTACATTGCAATAGTGAGGCTTGATAGGTTTGAACAATCTCACCATTTGCAGTCCCAAAATAGGTACGTGGTTGTGTGAATTTAACCTGAAGAAGGACATTTTTATCTCGATTACATTGATGTACCGCGCGATTATACACAGGCTACCCAAGTTCCACTTATTCAGTGAACAATAAGTGTCCATTAGTACGCTGTGTATTTTCCTTTTCGAAATCCAAAATTCTGGAGAACTATCAGGGGTATGTGACTGCACCCACTCTTTGTAGTGAACCGTCTTAAGTGATGTAAAAGTTCGCACATGAGCAGTTGCACAGGTACTCGTAATAGTGTAAGATCGGTCTATATAAGTGAAAGCTAGAGCAACTTATGGTGATCTGGAACATCTCTGGAGCCGTTTTAATGTTAACTGAACAGCTGTTATCGTTGTCCACTCATCTGTATGGAAAAGTTTTAAAAACTGATGAAGATACATCAAAAGGGGCTACACGAATGACGCAATAGCTTCTAAAACGTTAAACTCAATGGAATTGAGTTGTAACAGAGCAACCTTTACTTAATAGACTATTATTTTTATTGAGCGGAAGCAGTCATTATATTTATACCCAACAATATATGGGATGTTAGGTACTTCTGTTTATTTCATTGTTTTAGAGGATAAGATTCGTAATGTTTCATTAATATCTCAATCCATACTTTTCTTCATTCAAATGGTTTTGAGAATGTCCACAAAGCAGTATTGTTATGTCGTGTTCGCTTGTCATTTTGTTAGCAAAAATATCTATAATCCGGACAATAATTCCTAAGCAATGTGTAGACGTTTCTATTGCTGGGAGATTCATAACGAACCGAAGAAATTCTGTTCCAGCCATTTTTCCTAGATTTGCCATTATCAGACGTTTTGAGCTAGACAGTTATTCGTAAATAATTGATAGTCATTAAAATGTCATTACCCTGGTACATTAAAATCGGTCTTTATATTTTATTTATTCTTATAATGAAGTATTTTGCAGTTGAAGCTATTAATTTCACACTAGCAAATCCTTGTTCTTTTAGATTAAATTTCTATTGTCAAAAGTTTCGATATCAAGCTGCAAAACATTCATCATCTAAGTGTCATTTGTTCACGTAATCTTTTTTGAAATATTGCTCAACAGTGAAGCGTTTTCCAGCCATAATAGTTCACTTTAAACATGTCGATATTGTAAATCTTTATACATGGATTCCACTATTTCATCTCATTCAAGATTGTTTTTTTATCTTTTCAGCATCCGTGGTATCATGACCAAGTATTTGGAAAAGAACAACCAAATGACCTTCGATAAAATTTTTAACGAGAAGTTAGGTAAGTAGACTGACCACAATGTAGCTAAGATCTCCCTTCCACTTAAGGTTACTTGTTGTTTCGGGACTTCGTTCTCAATGTAAGTGAAGAACCTGTTCCTCAGCTTACGTTTTACGAAAATGTAAGAAGTATTTAGAGTATTTATTTTTTACAATCTGTAGATCAAAAAGTTTGAAAAGTTAGACACAGATGAAGAGCGTATTAAATTTGGCCGAGAAATATATGATCAACACATTATGAAAGAACTTTTATCGCATAACCACGTATGTTTGTCTACTTAAGTAACTTTAAATTTTGCCAGAAATTCTCTAAATCAACTGTGGATCATGTCCATGAACTACTCACTCTATCTCAAAAGACTAAAAAGCTACCAGCAGATACATTTTCTGTATGGTTTTACATTTAATTGTTCTGATTTTTTAGTTGTATGAAGATGAAATCCTCCAGTTCCTTCGTGGTGATGTATTTGACAATTTTCTTAGAAGGTAGATTAAAATTCCTTTATTTACTCGTTACTCTACCTTTGTTAACAGTAATAAGTTCACTCGATTTTGTCAATGGAAGGATTTGGAGTTAAATATTAACGTATGGTTATATTAACTAATTAGTCCCAATTATTTGATATTAATAGTTAACCACAAACGATTTCAGCGTACATCGCATTATTGGGCGTGGTGGTTTTGGGGAGGTCTATGGATGCCGAAAAGCAGACACTGGTAAAATGTAAGTACATACTGGCTATTGAATTCATGCATTGCTGAAAAACGAATACATTAATTGTTACTTTTCATAGCATATAGTCTAAAATCTAGCAGGGAATTTTAATATTCCTCACTTATGTGATAAAATGCTTTAGGTGTTTTATGCATTACCTGTTTACAGGTCCATCCAAGATACTGCGGTGATTCAGATTATCACATCGTTGCAAAATGTCAGGATTTATAGAGGATTACATCTTTAATTTAATCTCGAACACCTATTATATCCTAATTTGAACTTGCATGTGTATAAACGCTAATGAGTTTAAGAAAGAAATGCTTTCGTTTCATTCTTAAAAAACTCGAACAGGAGCAATATGTTGGGGGGGGGCATCGACTGAATGTCGAATCATAGTTGTGATATTTATTCTGACTTAGTATAGGCCCGCATAACATTTACTGTGAAGATAGTGTAACAATTAATTACTTACTAATAGCCAAATTAAAATTTACTTCGTACCACTTGACTTGTTTCTTCGTCGTTAATCGGCTATATGCCAATTCACGTTTATTCGACGTAACTATATATGATCTTCATACCTAATGACAAACTTCAATTACTTTCTGTTGATGGTGTTCTTTCAGACCGTAGTTTCTTCTCGCTTCTAGTTTTACAAAACTATTTATTGGAAGTATACGAAAGAACAATATTCCGTTGGTATACCGCTTCTACTCCGGCTACAGGTAGTTGGGTATATATAATGCATATTTAAACCACTTCGGCCAATGAAGACTTCCGTGTTACCTTCTTTACTTAACACATTTAATCCAATCTTACTCTATCATTCCTACTAAGGTATATTTACTTCAAAGTAGTATTTGTTGAATTTCATCCATGTTGATGATAAACACATAGTCTAGTAAATTTTATTGATAAATAGGTTTTGCGTAATATTTGTATTTGTTTTGAGGATCGAATTTCTTGGTTGTCTACTCTATTATCAGCCATGAAACTGTGTCATTCCTTCTGAAAAGCTGTTAAGCCTGGTGTCGTACGTTAGACATCAATCGTTGTTGACATCGAAAATTCTTTGTGTTTATCATTCAAAGATAACTAGAATAAAGGCAAACGACAACTTTATGTGATTGGTTAACCACAAATGTTATGAGAAAAGTACCTTAGGTGTTAATTTTCGGTTCTTATACCTGCTATAAATAGCGACAAACGAAATGTTTTAGTGAGTTTTAGTCTTGACTGATTAATCATGTGAACATTTCTTTATGTAGGTATGCTATGAAATGTTTGGACAAAAAGAGGATCAAAATGAAAGGGGGAGAAACTTTGGCCCTCAATGAACGTGTTATGCTTTCACTTGTTAGCACAGGGGTGAGTACTTGTTTTCTATTATTGTTTTTTTATGTCCGCATAATGTGCTATTGATAGGTTTTGTGTTACGGTTCGTGAGTAGCCATAAACAATGTGAAACTTTCAGTTCACACATCTTTAGACATTGGTGTTCCTATTAAGTTTCCATAATCAACAGAGGATCTGACAGATGCTCCAGCTCAAGTTGCCATATTACATTAGTGCGGTAAAATTAACAAAATGACTAGTATCAGTGACAGTGACAAAGACAGGATGGATTTAAAGAAATAAAACTGAAGCTTATGACTTGGGAGGGAAAATGAGTGACTGAATCTGCACTACTGTGACCTATTTTGAAATATGTCTCCAACCATTAGTTACGATAATCATGAAGATCCAAACCAACTAGTCAAATGTTACCTACACAGCTCAGTCTGAGAGTCAGTGACTTCATAAACTGATGTCATATTTTATTACCGTCCTCCTGATCTTCTTTTAACCCATTTCTACTCCAGGTGACATCGGGTGTCGATGTTTGCGGTGGTCGGGAATGTGTAACACTTGTCCCAACCATCTCAGTCGATAAAGGTTCACGATGTCATAAGCCGATTCGCCATCTTAGTTCAGTACTTTTTATCAGGATTACTCAACAGTGTTCATGTAGTTGTTCCACTATACGCAACCGATGGTTCGAAAGTACCCTTATTACGACCCAGCTACACTTATTGTCTAGCATTCACGGACACTACTCCACTTGACAATTCCCCAGATCAGAGCACAATTGAACAGGAACGTAATTACATTCCAGATAAACAAGGTACGAATCACAATAAGAAAACTGTTAATATATTTATGGTTTTTACATGAGAAGGTTCTAGAGTCTTCTCCAAGTATCTGCTAGCTCTGATTGGTTAAGAAACGGCCAATAAACGTGTCCTCAACACAGTCCTGAACGGAATATGCTTTAATCCAATCTATACCCCGCTAGCAGGTTCACTATTATGTTGGGATATCGATCTGCGTAACCAAGGTGAATCATAACAACGTCACTTGCTATGATCACTCTGGGTGTCGATGCAGACCAATCACTAATCAACGTTTTGGATTCAGAAGTAAAGAAATCCATCCCAACCATGTTTGCATTGTTACTCAGGCTGTTCAAGGGACTGTATAATGTTTCAGTCTTCATCAAATAAAATCATGTCACTTGCGTATTCTACGGTTCTGAAATCACTTTTATTTTTCTGGTTATAATGGCATTTACACTGAGTTATCAGAGATGTGCAGATGATTGCGTAGGCACGGTTTGAATGTTGAAGTCAACTTAACAGTCAAGACCTTAAAGACATTTGTATGTGTATTTTTATGTGGGATGTATCTTTAGTTTCATGTGTATGTACTTCTAGACTTAAAGTAGTAATTCATTTTTCATGGTTAATATATCTCACCAGTATCTACTGAGTAATTTGCTAATTAGAGACCCATTGATCGAGACATTGTTTTGTCTAATAACCACAAAATAATCAATTTATTTTAATCAAAAAATTTTTAAAGCCATAGTTAGGGATTCTGACTTCCTGCTCACTTCGACCCATTAGTCCTAAATCAAAGAATAAATGACCTCATGTGTATAGTCGTTATTACTGTTATGTCCCAGCGAGGATTATGAGTGGCAACTCTTGAGAACTATTTATGGACCAGTACAATGTATATATATTTTTTGTATAATTGTTAAATCTCTAAAAATGCATATTTATGTCCCTCTTATTGTAAGCTTTATTTTGACTCATAGACTACTATTGTGCGACTTACCGTTCTTGAGTTATGTCCAGTCTATTAATTACAGTCTCCCACATTCACAGCCACTTTTTGCGAAATCTTGTACAAATTTTATTCTTTATTTTATGGTATGATGCAGTCTGTTTGGTTTGCATATAAACCCAATATGTTTGAAATACATGGTTCATATTGTGGAGGCTGAGATTGGTGTTACGGACTTAACAAGCATGGATAGACAGGAAGCAAGACCGTTAAAGACTCCGGACTGCTCGTACGGTTTTTATGCGTCATTGGTCCGGTCGATAATTCACTGTTCTCTAATTGGCGGTATCATTACATAATATATTAATAGGGGCACTAGACCTACAAGATATAATAATTACCGACTTTTATCTATCGTTTAAACGTTGTATTTAAGCATGTAGGCTATAAATTGTATTCTCCAAGACTTTATACTGTGGGCAAACTGGTTTAATCTGGAATCTTCCGAGATTTTGTAATGTTTTTACACTTATGACAAATACAATTCCCCTGAAATTTGTGGTCTGTTATGGTTTGAACATGCTAGTTACTCGTCCTGACAACCAGATGCTTATTTAGTCAACTTTATACCTTTGCTGGAAATAAATTTATATGAAATAGTTAATTGTACGTAGGACAACCTAAATACTCTCAGTAATTTACACTGTATTTATGCGACATATATCATTAAGTATTTCAATTTGATTTCAGGACTCCCATTTTCACAAGCGCGTCTGATTGTTTATTACTGAATTTAGAGTTTTTCCTAAAAACTATCCCGCCGTAATGATGGAAATGTTATATTTGAATAGAGGGTATTAGTTTTTTACCACTAGACTTGATTCCATTTTTTCCATGTTGTTTTTCTACTAAGTTAATCATTATTTGAAGTGACAACGAAAATAATGGCACAATAAAATAAAAGCGTGTCAAAGCAAAATGGCGAATTGAACATTCGAAATTTATTCATGCTTAAAAGAACCTGAGTTATAACGCTACTGAATCAGTTTTTGGGTAAATAAAAACTTACATAGAAAAGACAAGCAAATGGGAGTGGTAGGGAAATCGATTTAGAAAAATTTCACATTATTTTAAATCAGGACAGGGATGAATTACATAACCATTTTCTGCGCAAATAAATTGGAATTGTTTCGTTCATCTTATAAATGTAAGCTGTACAAAAACAATCATTCTCTACTTCATAATGTATCTTACATAATACGAAAAATCACTTTTTGATGGTTCGATAGTTAGTATCAATCAGTTACACTGAAATAAGATTGAATTAAATTTTTATTATCTTTGCAGTAAAGAGAAATGTTTAGGTATGGATGATTACAGCTTTAATTACTAAACTGGATATTTATCCTTTTTGTGTAAATATATAAATCAGTCGGTGTACGTAAAAGCTTTCTTTCAACGTTAGAATTTACTTATATTACATAATTTTCCTTGTAAATAATCATTTTAATATGGTGATGGTGGACACTACTCACAAAATTGCTTATAAGTAGTATGAAGTAGAACGTTGCATGAGAGTTGCTATCGTCGATAGCTGAAAATAGGAGTCTCAGAAAGCCAAAAGTACAGATAGTTCAGGATACTTATGAGAGCAGAAGAGAAGCCATGGAAGACAGTCTAAAACCAGCTTGGGTTGCGGAACACAATAGATGCAAATGAAAGATCCAAAACTAGATCTGTGTATTTCATAAGCAGTCTACCTTTTCGCCAAATTAATATATATTTTCTGTCTGGACTTGGCTTGTTCGTACATTACGTGGTTGCCTTTGATGGTAAGCTAGTTGGAGCATTAATTTTATTTGCTCAGTGTTGTATTTACCAAGGTTTTTATTTTCTCTTTTTATAAAACAAATAGGATGGTTGTCCTTTTATAGTTTGTATGACGTACGCCTTTCAGACTCCAGAAAAATTATGCTTTATACTAGATTTAATGAATGGTGGTGATTTACACTATCATCTTACTCAGCATAATATCTTCTCTGAATCAGAAGTACGTTTTTATGCAGCTGAAGTTATATTGGGTTTGGAGCATATGCATAATCGTTTCATTGTATATCGCGATTTGAAGGTAAATATACCAACTTAATATTTTATGCTTTTACCATTTGGATACCTATTTTCCTTTTACTAAAACTTTTATTTGGGGATATATGAACTAAATGCTGTCACATTGAATATGGAGTTGTTCTGACCAGATAAACTTCATGTACTTAGTAGGATAAGTTTCGACCTTAAAAACTTGGAAACTGGTTTCGGTTTGCCTTTGTTCTGAATATCGAATAAAAAATTCCAATTGTATTGCTAAAGTTCTATTACTATCTAGTGATATATTCCACTCTAATAACCACAGTTATTCACAATCTGAGTAATAAACGGTGTACTGGTTTATTTCTATTCAAATTCTTGGGGTGGAATCTGGATGAAGCTCTTATAAATAGTATCTTTTTAATATCGACATGATGGCTACTCTCTGTTTTTGTCGTTATTTTTAAATACAATGGCAGCAAGTGGATATATGAATCGGCTTTGAATTGAGTTTATGTTCGGTGTTTCTGATTATCCGTGAGCTATTAGAAGTTTCTTCCATTATAAAACGGGTCTTGTACGACATGAATAGACTGGACAATTAATATACAACACTTAAATGACAATTCCCCGCGCGATGAAATATAAAGAAAAAAAATTTGTATTGGCGAAGACCCCAGAATTGTTAATTTACATTCAAGTTCATTCGATTACATAACGATTGTTCAATGATTATTAAGTACAAAATTTATCAGACTAAGAAGTTATCAGTTAGGCATAAAATCACAGTGAATTGATGAATACAATGGAAAATGTATTAAAATCAAATAATCAATTTCATAGTGAACGAAAGCTATTGAAAATTCACCGAAAGTCAGTAAGTGAAAATCGGTTTAGAAATAATTAATACGGAAGTCAAAAACAAAATTCACTTCAGATCAATGTGTATTTTAAAATTGATTTTTTCCGTATGTTGTATTTGGTCCGAGATTTAGCATCTCCAATAGATTCACTTTTGATTGTTTGATAATGACTACCAGAAATATCACACACATATAGGTATCGTTACCAAGGTTTGACTTGATAACTTTGAATAAATTGAGGATTGGGTAGATTGTTATAAATAAATTATTATATTTGTAATATCTCAATGAGTAGAAAAATTAGATTTTCTGACGTTTCGTGATTCAGTGTAAGCCACTTCTTCAAAGAATAAATAACCAAATCTAATTTTTCTACTCATTGGGATATTACAAATATATTATTTATCTATTTATCACACAGTCAGTCAGTAACAACGTAGAACTTCGTACGTACGTACATCAGTTCGAGTTGCCACACCACATTAGCACAGAGATGCAGTTGTCGATTCAAATCCCGTAGTGGTAGAGGTAATAAGAGTATAAGCAGTAATCGGGAAGATTAGGGTTTGGAGATGTTATTTAAAGAGTATAATACAGTGAAATAAATTTGGAAAGAGGAAAAAAGGGACATGAAGAATTCAGAAGATTAGAATTTGGGAGAACACAGAGAGTGGATGCACCTGCGCCATTGCAAACGATTTTGAGCCATGCCATTCAGGGTCTCTAACAATCGGTTGCTATCATCTCGTGGTCCCCAACCAAGTAGTCTACACCTACCAACATGACTCAGTTCACTTGTCAGTGACTTCATGGACTTGTGCCATAATTTGGTCTGACCAGCCCTAGCTTTCTTCCAACCTACTCCTATACCACTGAACATAGCACGTCGAGGCAGTCGGTCGTTGGACATACGTAACACGTGTCCCAGCCACCTCAACTGATGAAGTTTCACTACTTCATCAATTGATTTGCTATCCTTACCTAGTACCCGTTTCCTAACAACTGTGTTACTTACTCGATGGTCCCAGGATATACGAGCAATGTTTCGAAGACACCTATGATCAAATACTAGCAGCCTACGTATATCCTCTACTCTTACCGGCCATGTTTCACTGCCATAAAGAAGGACGGAACGAACTGCTGCGCAGTAAACCCGTCCTTTGGTTGATAGACGGATATCTCGCCTACGCCATAAATGACGCAAGTTGGCAAAAGCTAGTCGAGCCTTCTGTATCCGTGCTGAGATTTCGTCACAAACCAGACCACAAGGGCTGATGAGACTTCCAAGATAAGTGAAGCGGTCGACACACTCAACTACTTCACTCCCTATCACTAGTTCGGGTGTCGATGTAACCCAATCCTGAAGCAACATTTTGCATTTCGAGGGAGAGAATCGCATCCCGAACATGCTTGCATTGTTGCTTAGAGTGGTCAGAAGACTCTGCATTTTGTCAGCGTCTTCACCAAACAGAACTATGTCATCTGCATATTCTAAGTCAACAAGTGAACCTCCCGGTAAAAGTTCAACCCCTGGAAATTTAGATGAGGAGAGTGTTATCACTAAAAGTACGTCGACCACAAAGTTGAACAAGAACGGGGAGAGTGGACAGCCCTGACAAACACCACTTGAGGTAATCAATTCTGATGACAGTTCGCCATAAGCTCTTACTCTACCAGTTGTGTTCGAGTAGAGAGCCTTTATAAGGTTAATGTCAGTCAGTCAATCAGCTACAACGTTGGACCAGGCACATATGTTCATCGGTCCTGGTTGCCATACCACATCAGCACAACAAGATGAACACCGGATTCATAGCAGTGGTTAGGTCAAAGGTGGTAATATATAAGAGAAAGATTGCATATAGAGATATAGTATAAGAAGAAAAAATTGGTTCATAGAAAGAAAGTTATGAAGCGATTTTAATCTCTTAGTTTAAAGCAAGACGAAGAGTGTATACACCTACGCCATTGTGACCGATTTTGGGCCATATCACCAATAGTCTTCAACTATTGGTTACGATAGTTTCGCGGACCCCAGCAAAGTAGTCTGCATCTACCAACATGGCTCAGACTAGAAGTTAGTGACTTCAAGCACTGATGCCACGTTTTGGTTTGGCCGCCCCTAACCTTCTTCCAACCATCCCCAACACCGGTTAGCATTGCACGTCATGGTAATCGGTATTCGTGCATACGTAACACGTGGCCCAACCATCTCAGTTGATGAAGATTCATAACCTCATCAACTGATTTACCATCATTTCCTAATACCCTGTGTTTAACCTCACTATTACTTATCCGGTGATCCCAGCAGATGCCAGCAATATTTCTTAGGCATCTGTGGTCAAATACTAATAGCTTACGAGTGTCTTCTACTCTTAATGGCCATGTTTCTCTGCCGTGAATTAAAACAGAACGGACTGCGGCGCAGTATACTCGTCATTTTATTGATAGACGGATATCTCGCCTTCGCCACAGATGACGTAAGTTGGCAAAAGCCAAACGAGCTTTTCGAATCCATGCTGAGATTTCGTCAGACACCAACCCATTAGAGCTGATCAGACTTCCAAGATAAGTGAAGTTGTCAACGCGTTCGACTACTTCACTGCCTATCCTTAGTTCAGGTGTTAACGCTGACCAGTCCTGAAGCAACAACTTGCATTTCGAGGGAGAGAAGCGCATTCGAAACATCCTGGCATTGTTGCTCAGTGCTACCAGAAGACGAATGGTGAATATGTGGTCGATGCAACCACGACCAGGTCTGAAGCCAGCTTGAGTCTCTCGTGTTTGCAGTTCACGAGTCTTAGTTAGGCGTCTGATAATTATCGAGGCTAGTATTTTAGATACTATATTAGTTAAACTAATCCCTCTATGGTTGTCACAGGATGATTTTGACCCTTTCTTATATATTGGGACGATAAGTGATTGTGACCAGTCAGATGGGATAAGGTCTGACTCCCAGATCTTCGCTAAAATATTAGTCAACCTAATGGCTAAAATTGGACCACCATCCTTAAAGACCTCTGGAGCCAATCCATCTGGACCAGCTGCCCTTCCTCGTTTCAGACTAACTATAGCCTTTTGAACTTCAGCAAGAGTTGGGGGACCTACTTCAATGTTCCATTCACGCTGTCTGGGGATGGAGGGTAGTTGTAGAGTAGCTGAAGGCCAGTTGAACTGTTCTCTGAAATGTTCCGCCCATCGTTCTAAACGTCTGGACTGAGAGCAGATGAGAGTATCGTCTTTTTCCGATATAATCTCACTTACACTTGACTTATTAATTCCAGTTTCTTTTATTAGTCTGTAAAGCTGTCTTGTGTTCCCTATAGTCGCCGCCTTTTCCATCTCTTTTGTTTTCGTTACCCACCACTGCTCACGGTCGTTTCTCGGACTTTTTCTTAACCTAGATCTGATTTGTTGTCGCTCTTCATCATGTTCAGAACCTGATGGGACGAGTTTGCGAGAATTCATCAGTGTGATAGACTTTGAAGAAATCCACTGGTTCTTTGAAACTGTGGTTTAAGTCGCTAATAGATGTCACAGCTGCTTGTATTTCATTCCAAGCAACATCTGGGTCAGCCTCGTCTTCACAACTATCTAATCGTGACCTCAGTTGTTCCTGGAACCTACTTTTGGTTTCCTCGCTAATCAGTTCGGTTTTGATGGGTCTTTTTACTGTGGCTTTTTTGCGTCCAGTGAGGCGCAAGCAGATGCGTGCCTGTATTAGGGCGTGGTCGGAGTCCAAGCAGGTACACCAGAATGAGCGACAATCTTCTACCGACCCTCTCCAACGATGACTGACGGCAATATGGTCTATTTGAGTCCATCGTTGGTTTGGTGTAGGGGGTCGCCATGTTAGACGATGTCTCCTTATGCTTAAAATTTGTGTTTGCTAAAAATAAGCGATTGTTTGAGCACAGTTGCAGCAGACGGTCACTATTATCTGTTCTCTGAGCCGGAATACTAAAATACCCACCTAAATGCCCTTCTGTTTGGTTTAAAATACCTATCTGAGCATTAAAGTCACCTACTACGAGTACTATGTCTAAACGTTTAGCTTTCTGAAGAAGTTCAGATAGCTTTCTGTAAAATTCATCTTTCACTTCATCTGAGCTGCAGTTGGTGGGAGCGTAGGCAGAAACAACAAAAAGGCAACGACGTGTGTCCCTATCCTTCCGAGGTTTTACGGAGCCGTTTAGCCGAACAGCACATAGACGACTGTTGACGGGGATCCACTCTAGCAGTGCTTGTTCGGCCCTCATACTTAGTGCTATGTCTACACCTGCCAGTCCACAAGAACTGACCATCGGGTCACCAGATACACGTAGGGTGTATCTCGTTGGCTCTCGGTTTGATGGCGAGGGTCAAGTGAATGACCACACTGGGATCCTGTATGCGTGTTTCGGAGACACAGCATACATCAATGGAAAGAGACTCTAGGGTTTTAGCCAAGGAAGCCTGCTGACCGATTTGACATAGGGTGCGTACGTTGAAGGCTCCAATGTGTAGTTTGGAGCGAGGTTTCAGTAGACCTGGGACAGTGTTTTGAGCACTAGAATCATTGGCTATGGTGACACTTAAGGTGGGAGCCGAAAGAGGAAATTTAGAGTTGAAAGTCGATGTAGGAGGAATAATAGGAATTAAAGAGGGAGGTTGATTATGAATATGGTGGTCTTGGATGCTGTTAGAGGTATGAGGGCGGTTATCACTTCCCGGTTGCCCACACCGAGGAAGGGTTCTTCTGGAGGTACCTGAAAAAGAAATTGGATTAGAAGTGGTCTCAGTGACCTGAGAGCGTGACCGCAGTGCCCAAGGGACAACTGTTTGAGGCCGGTCGCGCACGGCCTTTTCGTGGGAGTTTTTTGACGTGTTAGCTCCGTTCTTCAAAGGGCCTTACCGCCGGAGGCGGAGATCCGTGAGGTAAGGTGAGGTGTGCATTTTTAGGGTCGACCTTTTCTAACCCCAACCCTCCTTGTGGGAAGGCAGCATCGCTGTCATGCTGGTTGTCTGAAGGAAACACCTTACTGCTGTCACACCTGTACAGTCAGCAGTACGACTTCGCCTTCGAACCTTGGGTTTGTTGCTTTTAGTCTTACCGCTCTTCAACCGACCTGTCTGACATGGTAGGACCCTGAGGAACGGTTGTTCCAGCCAGTATAGCTCGGTTGCTTCATCACGATAGGCAAGCTCAACCACCACGTCAAGGTAACAACAACGGTCGGGATAAGGTTAATGTACTTCTTTGGTACTCCTTTCAGCGACAAACACTGCCATAGAACCTCACGATCAACAGAGTCGAATGCCGCCTTAAGGTCGAGAAATACTACCATTGTGGAGCGTCTGAATGTGTGTCTGTGTTCTAGAACCTGACGTAGTGTGAATATCTGATCCTATACAACCACGTCCAGGTCGAAAACCGGCCTGGTTTTCTCTAATCTGCTCTTCACGAGCTTTGATTAGGCGTCGAAGTATTATTGAAGCTAATATTTTAGACACTATATTAGTCAAACTGATTCCTCTGTGATTGCCACAAGAACACTTTTGTCCTTTCTTATAGACTAGCACAATCAGTGATTGAAACCAGTCAGATGGGATTACGTCTAGTTTCCAAATCCTACCTAAGACCTCAGTTAATCTCACTGCTAATACTGCACCACCATCCTTAATAATCTCAGGAGTAAACCTGTCAGGGCCTGCTGCTCTCCTTCGTTTCAGATTTCCTATGGCTTTTTCAACTTCGTAAAGAGTCAGAGGACCTACATTAATTTGCCATTCAGGTTGACTAGAGATCGTGGGAATCCGAAGTGTGGCTGAAGGCCAGTTGAACTGATCCCTAAAGTGTTCTGCCCATCGATCCAATCTCCTGGATTTATCACACACTTAATTTGAATATTATGATTTTATGATTGAGAGTTATCCTCCTTTACATGACAGTTTTTGTTGCACCGGATGCTCAAAGTGAATTTTCTAAATCCACTTACGACACATCAGGTATTGAAATTTACATGTTTCGTTTATAATGAAATGTTTTGTATTTTAATTTGCAAATTACCGTAAGTTAAGTATATTACTTCAACTAAAGTCATAGTGTAAAGGGTCAAAGTATTTTCTTGAGGTCTTTGTGTTAGGCGTAATTGCGATGACAGTTGGCACCGAGTAGCTTTTATCCTCATGAATCACGCATTTAACAAATATTCAGACTATTGAAGTATACTTCTACATTTTGAATTGTGGTATGTCAATTTTGAGTGATACTTGTTAGGTAGAGTTTTATTGTTTAGGTAGATGTTTTTTGATTGTAGTTTGTTTGGATTCTATTCCTACTTCTTGCTTTTTTTCTCCCGAAAAAATAGCCTGCAAACATACTTCTGGACGAATATGGTCATGTTCGAATCAGTGATTTGGGATTAGCCTGTGATTTTTCACGTCGGAAACCTCATGCTAGCGTTGGGACTCACGGTTACATGGCTCCTGAGGTACTGTTAAAAGGTTGTCCATATGATTCTTCAGCTGATTGGTTTTCACTTGGATGCATGTTATACAAATTATTAAGGGGTCATAGTCCATTCCGACATCACAAGACAAAGGATAAACATGAGATTGACAGAATGACAATGACCATGGTAAGATTTTGTGTTGTAGAGTAGTTTCCTTGATGATTATTTTTTCAATGAATTCCAAGTGATTACTTTCAAAATATGCTCTTTATGGTATTAGAGAGATGGAAAATTAAATGAACAAACTTATTAACACATGGCTATGAACAAAATAGTATCGGTCCAGGTTTTCAGGAAGAACGGAATGATTCAAATAATCTGTCCGGGCCACACTTTTTTGTGCGTGAAAGCTAGTAACGCTACATAATTGCTCACATAAAAGTGATTGGCTGGAGTGGGGTTGAAATGTACAATAATTTATCATTCTTAATAAATTATCCTACTACATCGATTGATGCAGTGTACTATGCAGCAATCAGCTTCGCGGTTTTTTATAACTGTGAGATTTTATTATCGTAGAAGGAAAAGGGCATAGATCATGTGTATTCGATCATCATCGTCTGCGAAGGGTTTATGGTATGAGAATCATCAGTTATATAGTGTCTAAGTTAAATGCGATTTCGTAAACGGGGTAATCCAATCATTGAGTTTATAAATCTAAAATGATTAATGTAGTAAAAGCATGGGAAATTATAAAAATAATTCAAATGATCAACGCTCATGTAATATTGTGATATTTAAATGTATTCAATAATAACTTTTGTACTATTTTCTTTGTAGCATGATTTCAATCAATTTTTTACACTAATTTACAAACTTTTTCAGAGTCTCGATATTCCAGACGGTATGTCCTGTGAAATGCGGTCCCTGTTGGAAGGTTTGTTAGCACGTGACGTTTGCAATCGCCTTGGATGTATGGGTCGTGGGTAAGATATTTCTGAAGTAAACATTTTTCATGACAGTGTAGGTAAATTTAATCCTATTATGTGCTTTGTGGTGAATAAGTAACTGGTTGTGGTAAGCAAAATATACTCCCTACAGTCCTTCATGGATTATTGATAATAAGCGATCAGAATATTGGGAACGTTTTCTGAATATCTTAGTTAACATCTGTACTGCTTGAATTAGTTGTTCCATTCATGATAAAAAATTCATTGGCACATATCATTATGTATTCGTAATCCAATCGTTTCACTATCAACTGTGTTTTAAATAACGTGATATGTTTGTGGAAATCATTGCTACGCCTTTCATTTTTTACCCAATAGTATACAGGAGAAAACTTGTCTCGATTTAAGTTTAGGCCTTGATATGACAGACTAATTGGTTCAGCCTTTTAGGTAGAAATGTGTGATTTCGAATGAAACTCACAACTTATGGCTGAGTGACGAGAACTATTCTATCACCTGATTGGTTGACAAGTGAGAGAGAAGACGAGTCAACTGGAACACTTTGATTTATTCTTGATTCAGCTTAATAAGAAATCTGAGTAAATATATGACTAACACGGACTCATTGCACAAAAAATTAGAAGAATACAACTGTATGCAAACCAGACTTTGAGGTAAAAAGGGAGTGCAAAAGGTTATGTTCAAATTACAATAGCTTTGAAACAGAAAAGGGCATGACAGTGATTCATGCATCAAACGAAAGCTTATAGTTTATAGAATCACCAGGGCAAAAACTAAATGTTAGTATTTTACAAATTTTGGATAAAGTGAAATAATGTTCCCGAAAATATCTTCCGTTGTTCTTCATGGTTTATTTTTCTGTTCACACAAATTATCTCACCTGTTTTATTGAGACGGAACACGCAAACGGTAGTCCAGCTAAGTTATATTAATTTGCTTTGAGATGGTGAAAATTTGTAGGTCAAATTAATGGTCATTGTGGTTTCGTTCTCTGAACCAGGAGGCTGAATCACGAAGCTTTCATTTTTCTTCTTAACAACATCAGCTAAAGCTTCAGGTGAAAGCGGGCTATTCGAATTTTTTACATGTGACTGAAATTTTGTCCTGTCGATCATGATTGGTTGCTGTCGAACTGTATCTGGTCATTTTCTACACATACATAAAACCTATCAAGATGTAAGTCGATTTGATAAGCTATTAGTTCCATGAGGAAAAATTAGAAAAGTTCACTTTTATTTGAAGTTTTTATCGATAACATTGTTCAGAAAGACAGCGCAAAGTTCACGATTTAGCCTTCTGGTTCGGCAAACGAAACTCCACCAAAAGTAATGTGTTCGTAAAACATGGTAACATATCAGTGGCATATTATTATTATTACTACTACTATACTATACTATTATTATTATTATTATTATTATTATTATTATTATTATTATTATTATTATTATTATTATTATTATTATTATTATTATTATTATTATTATTATTTAGTGTTCTTTGATTTGCAAATGATAGCTTGTTATTATATCAATAGAAATAAACTAATCAGAAAATTAGTTTTCATAACTCTGACTTATTTAACCATATGGTTTCAAGAATAGAATAGTCCCGACCGAAGCTGCTACCTTGACGCGGTGGTCGGGCTTGCCTATCGTGATGACCCAACAGAGCTATATTGGCTGGAACATATGTTCCTGTAGGTTCTACCATGCCAGGCAGGTCGATTGGTGAACGGTAAGACTAAAAGCAGCAACTCAAGGTCTGAGGGCGAAGTCGTACTGCTGACTGTAGAGAGGTGTGACAGCAGTAAGGTGTTTCCCTCGGACAACCAGCATGACAGCGATGCTGCCTTCCCACAAGGAGGGTTGGGGTTAGAAAAGGTCGACCCTAAAAATGCACACCTCACCTTACCTCACGGATCTCCGTCTCCGGCGGTAAGGCCCTTTGAAGAACGGAGCTAACACGTCAAAAAACTCCCACGAAAAGGCCGTGCGCGACCGGCCTCAAACAGTTGTCCCTTGGGCTCTGCGGTCACGCTCCCAGGTCGTTAAGACCAACACTAATCCAATTTCCTTTTCAGGTTCCTCAAGAAATACCCTTCCACGGTGTGGGCAGCCGGGAAGTGACACCAGCTCTCATACCCGTAACAGCACACGAGACCAAGTTGGTCACATTCAAATCCTTCCTACACCTCCTAGTACCTCTCTTATCTCCATGACTAACCCTCCTCACGTCTCTTTATCACCTCGCACCGCTAGAGCAAACGATTCGAGTACGTGGAACGCTATTCCTGGTCTCCTGAAACCACGCTCTAAACTACACGTAGGAGCTTTTAACGTACGAACACTTTGCCAAATAGGACAGCAGGCTTCCTTAGCTAAAAATTTAGAATCCCGCGCCATCGATGTGTGCTGCGTCTCCGAAACGCGCATACAGGATCCAAGTAGCGTCATTCATTTGACCTCACCATGCCAAAATAAAGAACCGACTCGATTTACGCTTCGTGTATCTGGAAGCCCTGATTGTGCTTCCCGTGGCCTCCTTTGTGTAGGTATTGCATTGAGTCCTAGGGCAGAACTAGCTCTCTTAGAGTGGATCCCAGTAGACAGTCGTTTGTGCGCTGTCCGACTGAATGGAACAATGAGGATCCGAAAAGATAGGGACACTCGTCGTTGCCTCTTCTTCGTCTCTGCCTATTCTCCCACTGACTGCAGCTCAGGTGATGTAAAAGATGAGTTTTACAGAAAGCTTTCGGACCTTCTCCGAAAAGCTAAGCGCTCGGATGTAGTAATAGTGGCCGGTGACTTTAATGCTCAAGTAGGTAAACTAAGCGATAGGGAAAGACACCTAGGTGGATCTTATGGTGTCGTGGCTCAAAGAACAGATAATGGCGACCGTCTGTTGCAGCTATGCTCGGATAACCGCCTGTTCCTTGCAAATACTAACTTTAAGCATAAGGAAAAACATCTTTTAACATGGCGACCCCCTAATTCGTCCCAACGTTGGACCCAAATAGATCACATCGCTATCAGCCACCGATGGAGGGGCTCGATAGAAGACTGTCGCTCATTCTGGAGCACATGCCTAGATTCAGATCATGCTCTAGTGCGAGCGCGTATTTGCTTGCGTCTTACTGGACGTAGGAAAGACGCTGCAAGGAAACCTCTTAGGGGTCTACTTAATGATAGTCAAGCTAAGAGTATATTTCAGGAACAACTAGGAAAACAGTTACGCAGCCATGTATGTGACGCCCACCCCGATGCAGCATGGAATGATATCCGAAAAGCTGTGGAAACAGCAGTGATATCTGCTAGTAAGGTAAACCAGAAGGTTAGGGAGCAACACTGGATCTCAGCAGCATCTATCTCACTGATAGATGCTCGGAAACTCATTCCACCTGGCTCTGAACATAATGAAGAGCGGAGTCAGCTTAAGCGCAAGCTGACAAGAAGTCTACGCAATGATCGCGAACAGTGGTGGGTAGCGAAAGCAAGAGAGATGGAAAAGGCAGCGGCAATAGGTAATAGCAGACAATTGTTCAGACTCGTTAAGGAAATCGGAATTAGGAACCCGACCGTTAGCGAAACAATCTCAGAGAAAGATGGACATATTATTCATTCTCGATCCAGGAGATTGGATCGATGGGCAGAACACTTTAGGGATCAGTTCAACTGGCCTTCAGCCACACTTCGGTTTCCCACGATCTCTAGTCAACCTGAATGGCAAATTAATGTAGGTCCTCCGTCCCTTTACGAAGTTGAAAAAGCCATAGGAAATCTGAAACGAGGGAGAGCAGCAGGCCCTGACAGGTTTACTCCTGAGATTTTTAAGGATGGTGGTGCAGTATTAGCAGTGAGATTAACTGAGGTCTTAGGTAGGATTTGGAAACTAGACGTAATCCCATCTGACTGGTCTCAATCACTGATTGTGCCAGTCTATAAGAAAGGACAAAAGTGTTCTTGTGACAATCACAGAGGAATCAGTTTGACTAATATAGTGTCTAAAATATTAGCTTCAATAATACTTCGACGCCTAATCAAAGCTCGTGAAGAGCAGATTAGAGAAAACCAGGCCGGTTTTCGACCTGGACGTGGTTGTATAGGATCAGATATTCACACTACGTCAGGTTCTAGAACACAGACACACATTCAGACGCTCCACAATGGTAGTATTTCTCGACCTTAAGGCGGCATTCGACTCTGTTGATCGTGAGGTTCTATGGCAGTGTTTGTCATCACTGAAAGGAGTACCAAAGAAGTACATTAACCTTATAAAGGCTCTCTACTCGAACACAACTGGTAGAGTGAGAGCTTATGGCGAACTGTCATCAGAATTGATTACCTCAAGTGGTGTTTGTCAGGGCTGTCCACTCTCCCCGTTCTTGTTCAACTTTGTGGTCGACGTACTTTTAGTGATAACACTCTCCTCATCTAAATTTCCAGGGGTTGAACTTTTACCGGGAGGTTCACTTGTTGACTTAGAATATGCAGATGACATAGTTCTGTTTGGTGAAGACGCTGACAAAATGCAGAGTCTTCTGACCACTCTAAGCAACAATGCAAGCATGTTCGGGATGCGATTCTCTCCCTCGAAATGCAAAATGTTGCTTCAGGATTGGGTTACATCGACACCCGAACTAGTGATAGGGAGTGAAGTAGTTGAGTGTGTCGACCGCTTCACTTATCTTGGAAGTCTCATCAGCCCTTGTGGTCTGGTTTGTGACGAAATCTCAGCACGGATACAGAAGGCTCGACTAGCTTTTGCCAACTTGCGTCATTTATGGCGTAGGCGAGATATCCGTCTATCAACCAAAGGACGGGTTTACTGCGCAGCAGTTCGTTCCGTCCTTCTTTATGGCAGTGAAACATGGCCGGTAAGAGTAGAGGATATACGTAGGCTGCTAGTATTTGATCATAGGTGTCTTCGAAACATTGCTCGTATATCCTGGGACCATCGAGTAAGTAACACAGTTGTTAGGAAACGGGTACTAGGTAAGGATAGCAAATCAATTGATGAAGTAGTGAAACTTCATCAGTTGAGGTGGCTGGGACACGTGTTACGTATGTCCAACGACCGACTGCCTCGACGTGCTATGTTCAGTGGTATAGGAGTAGGTTGGAAGAAAGCTAGGGCTGGTCAGACCAAATTATGGCACAAGTCCATGAAGTCACTGACAAGTGAACTGAGTCATGTTGGTAGGTGTAGACTACTTGGTTGGGGACCACGAGATGATAGCAACCGATTGTTAGAGACCCTGAATGGCATGGCTCAAAATCGTTTGCAATGGCGCAGGTGCATCCACTCTCTGTGTTCTCCCAAATTCTAATCTTCTGAATTCTTCATGTCCCTTTTTTCCTCTTTCCAAATTTATTTCACTGTATTATACTCTTTAAATAACATCTCCAAACCCTAATCTTCTCGATTACTGCTTATACTCTTATTACCTCTACCACTACGGGATTTGAATCGACAACTGCATCTCTGTGCTTATGTGGTGTGGCAACTCGAACTGATGTACGTACGTACGAAGTTCTACGTTGTTACTGACTGACTGACTTAAGAATAGTATATTTTCTACGTTAATTTGGCTCAAAAACAATTGATTTTTGTGGCCAGTTTGTTACATCTTATTTGATGATTGTAGGTATGGAAGATATTGGAGATCTATTTGATTTAGCTCTTCATATTGACTATATTATTTTAATTTTCTCTAGGTTATTATATCAGGTTCATCCAGACAGTTGAGTTGCTTTATCATTTAATCGACATATATTTTATTGCATAACTTAACAAAGGTTTTAGTTATCCTAACGTAGTTGTTGTTAGTCCGTTCATCTATTCGTTTACGTTGGCGTATTATTTTAATCAATCTAGAAACAAATGAAGAAATTTATGAATTTCTGTGAATAAATAATTAGTAAATGTTGATTGCTTAGTTATTAAAAGATATTAAATGGTAATTGGATATTTGTAAACATTTCAGCATGTTTAATTTAAACTGTTCTGTTCAACAGTCTACTCAATGCTTATTCCTAGTTATGATAGTTTAAATAGTCTTATTTTAGACACAGTTAAATATCTAATCTGTATTTAATTAAAGCGATTGGTTATGAGTGTCATGTTGGTGGTCCGTAGTTTGATTTTGTCCTCATTTAGATCGACGATATTCGTCGAAGGGCTCACCACTTTAGTGGCCCGTTGATCTGACTCCTGTTTAGATTGTATGAATAATTGTATGGATGTTTGTTATCGCCTTTTCTCGTATATCATCGTCGACTTAAATCGCGTTATCCAATAACGGAATTAAATAAGTCGAATAACGAGAATTGACTTGAGAATACATATATTTCGTACATGAAGCGAATGAAGCACAGCAAAGCAAAAATGACACGTATGGAAGATGGCTGGGAAGCCAACTCCCCTTCAGGCCGGGCATTACTCAATATTTATAGGCAGACAAAATAAACTACAAACATGTATGAGTCATGGGACATGAAGTGTACACACATATACGCTCATATGAAAACAGTCAAGGCTAATAAGCGAATAATTAACAAGGTCAAAACATGACTTAAGTAGAATGAATAGAATGGAATGTCCGGAAACTAGAATAAAATATATTATGGGCTAAAACTAATGACTAACACTACAGTCATTTTGCCAACAACAAGTTAATTGTAGATATTTTAAAAACTACTACTATTTGTTAGGATGTTCCTTCAATGTTTCCTACAGACAAAACTATTTCTACCGATATTGGGTAACCACTTTAATGATTAATATAAATCACTAGTTTTATTTCTAAAATATTTGAAAGAACTATTTTCAAATTTATTAGTTTCCTTATCAATTAACAATTGATAATTATTAATCTTGTGTGTCTAACTTGCATTTTCAGTTTGATTTTAATCCATTTGTTTTCCTTTCTGGCGGTTGTGCTTGGCATATCCTAATAATGTGTTTCTTAATTATATGCTTAATTCCATGGATATATCTGTTTTACTTTCTCATCTAAATCGATTTTAGATCTCTTGAAGTTCGAGAACATCCATTTTTCAAAGGAATTGATTGGCAGCAGGTTTATCTGCAAAAGTACCCACCACCTTTAATTCCACCTCGGGGAGAAGTAAACGCTGCAGATGCTTTTGACATAGGCTCTTTTGATGAGGAAGATACTAAAGGTATTAAGGTAAGAGGTGTTCAATCAATGAATGTGAAGGTCAAAATTTGGTTGAGAGGTTTCGTTTTTGATCATTAATTTTCACTTTGAAGCCACTCCAATGAGCGTTGACAGAGACAAAATATTTGTCCTAAAGCCCATAAACAGGTTATTTAAAACTAATGGGGATAGCGACAAAATGTGTGTTACTTTGTTGTTATCTATCTCCCTTTAGTAATCTTATTATTGCAAAGAATTTTCCGTTAGTTATTTTGAAGCAATATTTATTCAACTTTACCATACAAAATACATCTTGATTGAGAAAATTGTTTATGTTCTAGTTATAACAAAGTTGACTGTCAGGGTGAATTATACTGGATCAGAACTTGATTTTTCTGATAGTTCTTAAAGGACATATTTTTATCAATTTCCTGTCTTGAATAGTTCGTTTATGTTATCGTTCACTTATTACCTGATATGGTAAGTAGACTTCATTGGCTGGAACATTGGTGATGAATGATATGAATTTTGTTTTTCAATTTTCTATGATATTCATTCATATTTTTAAGAAAGACAGTCATATTAGAAAAACATTGAAACGACACACTCATGTTAGTTATATCTGTAGGTTATAGATGGTAACTTTTATGATATTTTATATTAACGTTTGTTTGGTAAATTATTCACTAAATAATATTTAGTACTGTTTAGTTTAATGCATACAAATCTGGCCATTAAACAGTGTAAATTTCATCTAAACTAAATTGAGGTGTGGGTTACATATATACACATAAGTGGTATATAACAGTGGTCAGGCATAGAATGTATTTCAGTAGAAGATCGATAAGGAAAGAACGGGAACGGAACGCAATCGGTATGAAAATGTATGAACAATGAAATCTGAGACAATGGACTGGTAGTTGCAAAAGGAACAGTCAAGTTTGAGACGTGGATTAATATTTTGCAAATTAACTATTTACTATATGGTTCTCAGATTTCAGTGAGATGCTCTGTAATTTTGTATCAAATATATTCGGTTGTCCCCACTCGTGTTCTTTTTCACTACAAAACTAATGTATTTCGATATTATTTCTACTTATTTTTAATCTCAAATAAATCTTGATCTACAGTTTTAGCGTTCTTACTTAATTTGTTTGGATTAACGGTTTTTTATTAGCAAATACCAAAATATTAAGCAATTCCATCATTCCATTGATTGTAAACATACTGTATCTGATAGTTTATGTAACAAATCTCACTTTCTTCCTATTCTGTTTGCAGTGAAAATTTTAATACCACAATTCGTTTAAAAATGAAATAGATAAAAAAAATTTGAAGATTAAACTGTTCTAAATAGTTTAGACTTAGTTTCAAATGATTATGATTTAATCATTTTCAAAATATTTATTATATTATTCACCAATGGTTGTTAACAACTTACATATTTAAATAGAACGATTTCTAGTAATAGAAATAATGGTATATTTGGGATTTTAGAAACATATTATTATTGTTATTATTTCTGTTATTAACCATCTACCCATTGCTCAATTCATTCGAAATTACCAAGCCAGTAAACATTGGTAATGAGTGTTATTTTTTTTAAAAAAAAAACTATATCTGTTACATATTTTTCAAAATATGTAGCAAATGTTTCTGAAATTGCATTAAAATTTTGATTTTTTTAAATTTAGTTTTATAAAATATTCTTAATTTTCTAAATAATTGAAATATTTAGCTCACAGAAGCTGATCAAGCATTGTATCAGAACTTTTCACTTGTTGTGTCTGAACGTTGGCAGTTAGAAATAGCTGAAACTGTGTTTGATTTTGTAAATCAAGAGGCAGATAAAGTAGATAATAAAAAAGCTCGTGCACGACAACGTTCTACACAAACTGCTGATGTTTCAAGTAGTGGCTTATCTGGAGTTACTTCAAGTACTGGAAATTTATTAAACATTGGGAATGTAGGAGTTTCAAATAGCGGATCGGGTGGAAATCTTTCTGAAAATATGACTGTTGATGGGGTAGCCTCTGACTGCATTGTTGAGGGTGACGTTTTGAAACTTGGCGGACCATTTTTGCAAACATGGCAACGTAAACATCTGCGTTTATTTCCCAACCGTATTGAGATATACAACAAGTCTAGAGATGGTTTAATTCTCAAGAAAGGTGTTGATGTAAGTGTGGCTTACGTTTTAAGTTTGGCTAATTTTTTCTTTATGTCAATGTATTTCAATTTTCTGTGTGCTCATATATCTACAACAGTCATTACCAATGCATTTTTAGCTTAAAATCTTTGAGTGAATGGTATTTTTGTTAGTTTTTCTACAGCAGGTGGCATGTTTATGATTATGCTTTTAATGTACGCTTTGTGGTTTTCCAATGTTTCATTTCATTTGGTTTGTTGGAAAGTATATGTTTTCAAATTATGCCTGGCTTAACTAGAAGATGCATATTGTATTATTAAACAATTAAGAATAAACTCTTTCTCATAACTATTCCAATTTTTAAGATAAGTTGATCAAGTGATTATTTTAATAGGTTAATAATGTTTATTTTACTCACAAATTATTAGGAAATGTTCTTTGATATAGGAGTGGCAACTAAAGTGCTTTATAGTTCATGACAAATACCGGTTATTAGGGCTCACAATATTTATTATGGGAATCCGTGATGATGTATGATGATGAGTGTATTTGAGCTGTCTAAAGTCAAATCATAGTATCTAACTAAGAATCATATTTAGTTTTTCTGAGAACCATATTAATTACGGGAACATTTATATATTGTCAACCTCAAACTACTATGGAATGTGTACCTAAAGCATGAAGTGTCAAAATATTGGGAAGAGCAGTGATTTAGTAATTAATACACTCGGTTTTAAACCAGGGAGTTGCAGGTTCAAACCTCGACCCGGTTACGTTGGTTTGGGTACTTAAATACTATCATCAGCTCACACACAGTCTAACTGAAGATTGATTACATACACCTGTGCATGATAAATGAGTTACACTAATTTCTGGGTTTTATATTATTTGCTACTAATGAATTGTTCATATACTTATTCATGATGATCCAGATCGCAGTCATGATATTTATTTAGTAATTTATATGTAAAAATATTAGTCTTAGATAATTAACTTATCTTCGGAAGGAACATAGTGTGGGGTTTCACATAACTTTTGATTTAACAGTGGGTTGATCAAACTTGGAGTTAGGTAGGTCTTTGCTCTTCGTTAGGTACCATAACACTCAGTTATTTTTGCTTACTCAATTTGTGCTTTTTCGTTTAAAAGAGTAGATAAATGTCATTCGAGTTTCGGACTTGAAAATATGATTATATTGTGTTGTTCTCTTGAAGGTTGTGTTGTTTAATTAATTCTGACTGTTCATAGGTTTATCATAGATTGATTCATGTTGAATTGGTTGTTTGAAATTTCTCACTGATGTTTAGGACTGCAAGTGATCAGTCTCTTACTGGCACACGTACCAATACGAGACTGATTAATGTCAATCTTAATTGTGATTGGCAAGATTCAGGCAACCAATATAAAATGGATTAAATTTCACTCCATTTTACAAGCTAGTGGTCATCTGGACTCAGTAGCTAAGTGGATAACGTTTAAAGCGAAAGGTGCTGGTTTCAAGTCCCGGATTGAATATCAGCTCTGGGAAGCAGGCAAACCCAGATGACGAATCCCAGACAGGACGAAACGCTGCATCTTGGATTCCACTTCTAGTCACCATTCATCTCTGTTTATCGCAGACTGTTTTTTTCGAATGATAATAGTTTAATGTATTTATGGATTCTCATCGTTGCTATACTTTAAGACACTGAATAATAACTAAAACGAGTAATAATAACAAATCATATTTTTTCTTTCCACCTGTCTTGTTAAATATTTTCTGTTTAAGCTTATATCAATGCTTGATATCAAAGAAATTTCTCCAGAGTTTTCTCGTGTGTGTAAAATGGATAATTGTATTTCAATTAAACTGAAAAATGATACGCGATTGTACATAACTTCAAATGTAAGCTTCATTTTTTCTCTGAGTTGTTTTTGTACATTTGACTGAAGATGCATAGTCAGATTTCTTAAGTATGCACTGATTGGTCATTGTTGTGCCATCCAGACTTTAAGTCAGTCAATCATTCAACGTAGGACCTGACACAAATGTACATTACTGCAAACTCGTGCTTCATTTCATCACAATCAGATGGAATTAACTAAATGAAAATAAAAAGACTTTGGATGGTAGTAATGTCAATTATACTGAGAAAGAATAAACGTTGAGACACGGTTGGAAAATAAGCAACGAATTCACAAGTGAAAGTGTGACAAAATCTTCTGGGAAGATAAATAGTAGATGCACGTACCCCACTATGATCTTCTAAACCGTATTACGAACTATTTCCAAGCTCTAATCGCGGTTATCGCACCGACCCCATCGAAGTAGTTTGCGCTTATTACCGTTCTACTCAAATCAACAGTTAATAACTTCATGAATTGAACTTGAAGGAAGCACAGTTTGAGCTTTTTGATGTCTTCCATGTGTTTTTTCTCGATGTTTAAGCCACAAATATATAATCGGTTAAGATACTTTTTGTACTTTCGTTTGGATATCTACCATTTTTGTTTTTATTTATTTACACCAGTTGAAATATTTCTCATAGAATGTATGACTTTATCTAACAAAATATTGTCAACAACTTGTTTTGCAGGATATTCACAAATCTTGCAGTTCACCTGGACATATTTTACATCCGTAGTTTTGTATTATGTATGATTTCTCTATTGAGAACCATTCAGTTAGATATCTAGGCATCGTCAGAGTAAACCATTATCTGAAAAGCTCAGATTTGTGGACCACATTATTCGAAATGACTGAAGATGAGCTCCATATGCGTTTTGTAAAGGATTCTTGTTGCTGTAGGGAATCACGTATGACATTGTGTATACATATTTCTGCAGGTGCTTTCACTTTGCTAAATACCTTAGTTAACGTTTTATCTCATATGTACTATAATTACTAGTAGTATGAGAATTTTTCTGTTATTTCAGGACAAAATCATGATTACACAATGGAAAGAAGAAATATTAGAAGGATATCGAATTTCCTGTGAATTGATGGCACATATGAACAAAAAAGCCCATAAAATGTATGGTGTTCTCGATCCTATGTCAAACACGGACACTCATCCTCCTTCTACTACTGTTATAACGTCATCTATTTTAACTGTTACTACTAGCGGTTCTGTACAGCCTCTCACCTCTACAAGCCGTCCATCACAGAAGTCACACTCACCTCCACAAAGTTCTACACATCCCCGTCCTCGCCTAAGTCACCAGGCATCAATGCCTTCCTATCCACTCACAAACCACAGGGGTCAAGGGTCATCTTTAGATTCAGTCACAGGTTCCAAGTCTGGTGATCAAGCTGTTGAGACAGATGTAAATCAAGATATTAATCCACCAGATGGTGGGGTTGGTAGTGATTTCAATAATAATAAGTCATCTTAGATTTCTACTGGTCATTTTAATTTGTGTTTTTTATTATTATTAGAGTATAGTTATTGATTCACTAACAGTCTTGATCTTTCGATGCTAGTCATCTATCTACAGTTTATGAAAAAAGATTTGGAGGATGGCAGCTTTCTAATTGAAAATTGCATTCCATTTAAGCTTCGAGATGGTCGTTATAATCCCCGTGTGTTTATAGTAATTGTATCAAATTATATTGTACGAGATAGTTGTTCAACCTCCATTTCTAATGTCATACTGTATACATTTTTGTTCATTCTTGCTTTTAATTAGAAGCATGAAATTCCGTTTACTCTGTCTGTACTTAAGTTTGGAATAGTCCTATTTCTGATGATAATATAAACTTGAATTCTGTGGTTTAATCATGTCAAGAAAATATTATGCTCATTTATTTTGTGTATAAAGTTATTGTGTATTACACTGTGTTATGTCGACTTTTCTGAACAATCTTGTTTATTCATATTATTAGTTGTTTTTAATTAGTTTTGAGATTCATAGAATCTAATTATTCATTATTTCCTCGATTTGCCCCTCTTCATATTCTTTGTGTGCAATATATGATTGATTAATTCGTTTTTTTTTTAATTTTTCTAATTGTTTTTTTGTTTTTTGTTGCATTTTTGTCTGTTTGTTCCTCATCTCAGTGACTGCGCCGGAAGTTTGTTTCCTCTCACTGAAAGAGTGTTTTTTTACTTGATTCGTCAAGTCTAAATCTGGTTAATAAACTGTTATTTTTTAACTTCTTATCATTTCAGTTATATTATTACTGTTGTTGTGTATGGCATCTGTTAATCTACATGATTTGTTATTATTACATAAGATCATACAGAGAGACATTGAATGTGTTATTAGTTATCTGATTGCGTTAACATTATCACTATAACTACGATTTCCAATATTATTGTCTTTGTAAGTTTCAGTTAGAGTTGTTTTTGTTATTATTATCATCTTTGTACACTCGTTCATTTATCCTATACTTTTTAACTGACATGTAATTTCCTTAACGTAATACTGGTTACATTGATTGCATTATAATAAAGCTTATCTAATTTTTAAGAAATAAGGAGAGAAAAAGAATTTCGATTGTCTGACTATTACATTATACTTGACTTTTTCACTTCAATTATATTTGAAAATGTTTGCATTTTAAGAATGTATGTTGGTTGTATTTTTGTTAAAAATGTACATGTCAGCATACTTGTCATGTTATATTGTGCAATGTTTATAGTGGTTAGCAATAGAAATAGGTAGTGTTTGCACTATTTGTTAGTGGATAAAATTTGTAATAAATATAAAATAGTTATGATTAGGGCATGGTAGAATGAAGAACACATGGATTTCTTTTCTTTTCAACTCATGTATATATTTTACTTTGCGCATACCTATTTAACTACCAGGCATGCACTTAGATACAGTTACAAATCCACACATTTATACACATACAAATGGAAATAAATAATGGTTTTACTTCAGTTTATTTGTTTTTTTTTCACTTCTTAGCCACATAATATACATTTTGCATTTCTTTTCTCCTAACTTGGTTAGTTTTTGCATTTATTGTATCCCCTTCTTTCTTGTGTTCACTATACTTATTATTAATTTGTTGTTCTGTCATTGTCCAGTTTTTGTTCTCTCTCTAGATGTTGGCAACTAACATACATTTTTTAAAATTCATTTTTGGAATACGTGTATACATAGCCCAAACTATTTCTGTTTCTTTTTTAAAATCATAGATTATTATTACCAGTCTTGTTATTACTACAATTACTATTACTTTCTGTTCTATTTATCTTTTCCTCAATTAACAAAAGTCATGATTTAGTGTTTCTTAATATTGTGTTGATAATAAAGTATAAATTAATATAGTAACAACAGAACTCATTGTGTTAAGTAAATGTGATGAATTTTATTTTTACTCTTATAGATAATGATGATGTAAAATTGATTTGACAATTTGTAGACATAATCATTTCTATCTGTATTTATATTAATTGAATTTTTATTTTGTTTGTGATTGAATTATATAAATGAATGAAAGAATAAGTAAGATTGCATTGAATTCATTGTTTTAATTGTTTTTTGTTGTTGTGTTGTAGTTGTACTTGTTGATTTACTTTTCAATTCACCTTCTTTTTGTCTTGTTTAAGTTTCTCAGTTGTTTATAAAATATATAAGAGTATAGAAGAGTAAATAATGAAATGAAGCAATATCTTGATTCTTATTGAGTTAGTTATATGTTAAATGTTAATCATTTGTTTTACTGCACTTATTCTAAAATTTCTCTTATTTACATACTTTTAAAATGATATTATAGAATATTAGATTACTTTATGACAATCATGTTTATATGATTATGAATTTGTGAAATATAAATAACAGTCGATTTTTTGTGTCTGTGTATATCATTACAGTTTCTTAATCAGTATACTTTCTATTTTTCTTAGGTTCTTATTTTAAGTTATATTAATGTGTCTTCATGATGTTAGTTTTAATTCACTAACATGTGTGAAAATAATGGTTCGTAAAGAAAATGGCTTTAAAGTAAATCATTTGATGAGATGTTCAATGATGAAAACATCTTAGCGTACATATGGAAGACGATCTTACGCAATATATTTATTTAACTGTAATATCGTTATTTTTCCTCGATTAAACTATATTGATTAGATTGGTACATGCATGCAGATTGAGTTCTTGTGCTTGAATTAAATTTATTATGTTATCTCACTGATAAATAGTAACCTGTTCGTTTGAAAATATCAGTATTTCTAGTTCTTAAAAACGCATACATCACCTTAAATTCCCGTAAAATATTTTCCCTGATCTCTCTCAAGAAATATTAGATGTTTAGCCATCACTCTAAATACACTGACAGTTTTTGATTCAGCTTCTCGACTGAGGTATAGAAAGACGAAATAAATAAAATACTTCATCTTGGTTCACAGTTGCCAGTATAAACTTTTCCACATTTGGTTTCATTTGCATGGTTCATAAGGTGGATCGGAAAATTGGTGTAATATTTATTTACTGCATATAAATTCAGATAGCTTTGAGTATCAAGAGTACACTACACAAATTAAACGATATTTCAAAGAAATAAGATTGCAAAGAGTTGTACAGTTAGTAAGAAAATAAACACTTCACGAAAGACTTGAGTCATTTAAGGAAGCTTATCTTATTTGTGTGAAAACAGTAATAGGAAATTACTGTAGGATTGCCACTGATAACTGAATAATACAAACATTAGTACATAAAACAAGGAGTTGTGTTAGAATTCGGTAGTATAATAGAAAAAATTGGAAATAAAAATCGAAAAATATACTGTCAATTAACTACTAAAGCAGTCTAATTATGGAGAACACTGCAATGAAAGTGAAATTAAAAGAAATTACTAATTTCTAAATAAATACCTTGGTTCATGTAATTATAAACCAAATGTAGGTTCTATACGTTTTATCGTTTAGGTCATAGAGGAGACCTAAACAGATCTCACAGCTTACTTACTTACGCCTGTTACTCCCAATGTAGCATAGGCCGCTGACCAGCATTCCCCAACCCACTCTGTCCTGGGCCTTCTTTTCTAGTTCCATCCAATTCTTGTTCATTCCTCTCACGACTGTCTCCATTTCTCGGCGTAATATGTTTTTTGTTATTCCTCTTCTGCGTTAATTTTGAGGATTTCATGTGAGAGCTTGCCATGTGGCGCAGTTGGGTGCTTTACTCAATGTGTGTCCTATCCACTTCCAGCTCTTCTTCCTGATTTCTTCCTCCACTGGGATCTGGTTTGTCCTCTCCCACAGTACGTTGTTGCTAATGATGTCCGGCCAATGGATCTGAAGTATTTTGCGCAGACAATTGTTAATAAACACCTGTATTTTCTGGATGATGGTTTTTGTAGTTATCCAGGTTTCTGCTCCATACAGTAGAACTGTCTTGACATTTGTATTGAAAATCCTGACCTTGGTGTTGGTTGACAGTTGCTTTGAGTTCCAGATGTTCCTCAGTTGTAAATATGCTGCTCTTGCTTTGCCGATCTGCGCCTTCACATCTGCATCAGATCCACTGTTCACCAATGATGCTGCCCAAATGCGTAAAGGCTTTTACATCTTCCAAATCTCCGTCATTTGTGATTGGATTGGTGCATTCTGTGTTGCATCGGAGAGTCCTGCTTTTCCCTTTGTGTAGATTGAGACCTGCTGAGGCTGCTGCTACACTGGTCGTCTTCTCCTGCATCTGTTGTTGCGTTTGGGATAGAAGAGCCAGATCGTCTGCGAAGTCTAGATCATCCAACTGCATCTTAGATGTCCATTGTATCCAGTGCTTCCCTTCAGACGTTGACTTCTTCATGATCCAGTCGATCACCAGGAGAAAGAGAAAGGGTGAGAGTAAGCAACCTTGCCTAACACCGGTCTTCACTTCGAACGACTTTGTCAACTGTCCTCTATGCACAATTTTGCAGTGTAATCCATCATATGAACTCTGTATGATATTGACTATCTTCTGAGGCACGCCGTAGTGTCGAAGAAGTTTCCATAGTGTTGTTCTGTCCACGCTGTCAAATGCCTTTTCGTAGTCAATGAAGTTGATGTATAGTGATGAATTCCATTCGATTGATTGTCCTACAATGATCCGTAGGGTTGCGATTTGGTCTGTACACGATCTATCCCTACGGAATCCTGCCTGTTGGTCACGAAGTTGGGCGTCTACGCAGTCCTTCATCCTGTTTAACAATACCCTGTTGAAGACGTTTCCTGGTATTGAGAGAAGAGTGATGCCCCTGTAGTTATCACAGTTGCTAAGATCGCCTTTCTTCGGTATTTTGATCAGAAGTCCTTCTTTCCAGTCTCTCGGTACTTGTTCCTCATCCCAAATCTTGCTGAAGAGAATGTGGAGTATCTTTGCAGTTACCGCCACGTCTGCCTACAGTGCTCCTGCTGGAATGTTGTCTAGTCCTGCTGCTTTGCCTCTATTGATTTGTCTGATGGCCATGCTAGTCTCTCCAATTGTTGTTTGGCCAACATCGATTGTGAGGTCCGTGTGTGCTATTTCGATGTTGGGTGGGTTCAGTGAGGCTGGTCGATTCAAGAGTTCCTTGAAGTGTTCCACCCATCTGTTTCGCTGTTCTTCAGTGTTGGTGATCACATTGCGTTCCTTGCTTTTCATTGGTCGTTCTGGTTTGCGGCGATTTCCAGAGAGTTTCTTTATCGTGTCATACAATTGTCTCATGTTTCCTTCTCTTGCAGCCTTTTCCACCGTCGTTGCTAAATCTTCCACATATTTACGTTTGTCGGTTCTGGTGCTCCTCTTCACTTGTTTGTTTACTTCTGCGTATTCAGCTTGTGCCTTGGTATTTTCTGCTCTTGTTCGACTGGTATTGATTGCTGCCTTCTTGTTCCTCCTTTCTTGAATCTTATCCAGTGTATCAACAGTGATCCATTCCTTGTGATGGTGCTTCTTGTGACCCAGGACCTCATGACATGTTGAAGTGATTGCCTCTTTGATCCCCTTCCAGTTGCTCTCCACAGTAGTTCCTTCTCCATTGAGTAGATCATGAAAGGCCTGGAACTTGTTGCTGAGGACTATCTTGAATTTGTTGAGTTTGTTAGTATCCTGGAGAAAGGCCGTATCGAACTTTTGTGATACTGTCTGCCCCGTTGTCCAGTGCTTCTTGAGTTTCAATTTCATCTTGGCGACCAGCAAGTGATGATCTGATGCTATATCAGCTCCTCACTTGGTTCTCACGTCCTCTATAGTCCTCCTGAACTTTTTGTTGATGCAAATATGGTCGATTTGGTTTTGTGTAGAGTGATCCGGTGAAGTCCATGTGGTTTTGTGTATGCGTTTATGTGGGAATATGGTGCCGCCTATAACCAGCTTATTGAAGGCACATAGATTTGCAAATCTTTCACCATTTTCGTTTCTTTCTCCCAGTCCGTGTCGTCCCATGATGTCTTCATATCCAGTGTTGTCCGTTCCAACCTTGGCGTTAAAATCTCCCATCAGAATATTCAGGTCCTTTGTTGGGCACTTCTCAACGATTGACTACAGCCTATTGTAGAATTGATCCTTAGCGTCTTCATTGTAGTCGTTGGTAGGCGCATAGCATTGGATGATGTTCATTGAAATGCCCTCTTTCTTTGTTTTGAAGGAGGCTTTGATGATCCTTGGTCCATGAGATTCCCATCCTATAAGTGCATTTTGCGCTTGTTTGGACAGCATCAATGCAACTCCTTGTGTATTTGGTGCATTTTCTTCTTCATGGCCGGAGTATAACAGGAGCTCTCCTGTAGTTAGTCGTTGTTGTCCAACTTGTGTCCAATGTGTTTCACTGATCCCAAGTACCTCTAAGTTGTATCTTCTCATTTCTGCAGCAATTTGGAAGGCTCTCCTGGTGTCCCACATTGTACGAACATTCCATGTACCTAAATAAATGGTTGCTTTGGTTGTCAGAAGGGGCATCGGCCTCGTGGATTCCGAAGGAATTCGGCTTTCACCATGAGGCGTCATAATTCTTCTAAATGAAGACCTTCTGACTCCCAGAGCAGAGTTTAAAAGGTTTGAATAATTTTTTCTGGTTAGCGTTGTTTTAGCGAGTTAGTTCTCTACGGGATGGGGATACTAACCCCATGCCCGACCCTCCTCCTTTATCGGGGCTTGGGACCGGCAGTAGCCCCCGGAGGGACTCCAGTCGGAGTTAGATCTCACAGCTGTGATTGAACATATGGTTTCTCAACAACTTGTGAGACATTTGTCACATACATTTAGAACTGGTACTGATTAAGATAAAATTTGTGATTGGCGAGTGTAGTTTTGCAAGAGCTTTTCCTTCGGTATAATAAAAGGCTGTAAAAAATAATCGAGATTTCATTTATCATCACTCTTCATCCTCAAATTTCATAAGTTCCTTAAAGTTTTCTTCCGATAGTGGTGTCGGTTTCTTTGGATTTCTAGGTTGAGGATTCCAGAAAAGCAAAAACTTATTTTTGTTGTTTTAAATTCCGTAAGGGTTATCTGCACCTACGTGTTTATCAGAGCTGTTCGACCAATCATAAGTGTAATGGTTTCGTAAATCCTGAGAAATACATTTGCTAGTTAGTCATAAACACTGGGTGTTTATAAACTCATGTGTTACGCAAATATATCACATAATTCTGACAACCTTCGTTTTCTCATTACATTATCGAACTTTATTAAAAAAACTAATTGTTTTAAAAACAATCTAATATGTCTCAGTGCTATCCGAAATCCATATATATATTAAAATCTAACATAGTGTCAGAAATTATGTATTGTGTGCTAGCTTCGAAATATGTTATTTGCAGGTGTCTTGTTCTAATTATCTATAACTTGAACCGATGTGCACATATGCCAGATTATACGTTGTATTTGACTGACTGGAATTTCGTCCATCACTGTTTAAACTTCCAAGTTGTCTTATTATTTTGTAGGAAATAAGATTCAATTATATGACAGTCTTGTTTCGATTTATCCTATGGTTATAATGTCCATTATAGCATTGAACCGAATCTAATCAAAAGTTTTACTTGTTTGTTCACACAAGTTACTCGCATTGATTCATCATATTGATATAAATTATTTTTTCATTTTGTCATATAAACCATTTCTAAGATTAAATCGCTCTTTGCATATATCAAATTTATGAATTATTTACAATATTTGTTGAATAAACTTATTCTTGAAACGTATTTTCAGGATGGGTATTAATTTATATCACCGACTGGAAGCAACTATTAAAT